TATCTTGTTTTTCTTATAAATTTTTATCTCATGCCTAGTACTAGTTTATATTTTTTAAAATGTCATACCATAGGTATTTGTCATTTAAGTAACCTTGTTATACAGAATTTCTGTTTATGAAATTGATAAAATTTAATGAATGCAAAGTCCCTTCTAACTTAAGAAATCTTAAGGCTAAAGAACATCATGTTAAAAGACGCTAGCAGCCAATGGTTGTTATTCCAACCTAGATTTAATGGAACTGTGAACTCTTAAGTGAAAAGGGAAAAACAGGGGCTATGAGTTCTAGAACTTAGTGTTTTAGAACTTAGTACTTAGAATTTCCTAACATTAGAAAACTGCCTGTAATTTGAGGAAAAATTAACAATTTGTGTGATATGATTGCAATGTAGATCACTCAGTGGCAGATTTGGAAAAGTAGTGTAAATTTCCAGAACATTCTGAAAGTGCTGCTCTTTGTAAAAGTTCATGAGTTTGGACATGATTTTCCTTCCTAGCAGTTTTTGTTTGCTCTGTTAGCAGATCTCTGTGGAAATATTATATGAGGTTATAGTGTATGTGAATGGGGAAGATGGAATTTCTATTATAGCCCTTTTGACTAGAATATAGCTGTTCTATAAAGCAGAGAATAATACTTGTACATTATCTCTGTCCTCACAGTAAATTACTTTGTGAAAACTAGTAATTATATGTAAAAAATAAGTAATTCTTGGATGTTATAATGATTTATTCAAAAAGAATAAAGATTTAGATGGAGTTATATGCTTTGATTTTTTCCCCCCTTCACAGTTTGCCCTGATAATCTCTTTAACAAAATTAAGACTTCTTGCTCCAAGTCAATAAGAAGATGTAAAGAAATAAATATTTCCTTCATCCCACATGAATCTCAGGTACTTTCTATTTTTATTTTTAATTTTCATTCATGGTGGATTTTTAGATTTGGTTTTATGAGCTTATTTGTTAATAAAGTACATAATAAAGATTTTTATGTATGTATTTGGTGAATTTTGAACCTAATCCACAAATAAACATTTCCTATGATGAAGGGAGCAACATGAGCAATAAATTGGAATGCGATGTTAATAATAAAAAGTGGTGCTGAAATTTCATATCTGCCACCAAGTGCTATCAAATTACAGCACCACTAGATTATGAAATCAAGAGATTTTTAAGCACAGTCTTCGTTAGATGACTCCAAAAAAATAAACATTTCATTTAGCTTCTGTAACCATTCGTGATATTAAAATACAGTTTTGTTAATAAACTTCATATAATTTTACGTAAATTATTATTTTAATTTATGCAATGAAGGGGTTTTGTTGATTTGCTTGCTTTGCCTTTGGAACAGTTAATGAGCCTTCGGTTAATAACTAATGATGATCATAGCAAACACATAGTACTCTGTATCAGATACTCTTTTGAGTGCTTTACATGAATTTATTCATTTAATCCTCACAATAGCCCTCTGAATAGATGGTACATCTATCTCCATTTTAAAGATCAGGAAATCAAAGAGGTTAGGTAACTTGCCCCAAGTCACATAGCTAGTGAATCGTTCAGGTTTGTTGTGCTTTATTCTCTGGATTCTAGCATTTTATAGAATTGAAATAGTTTGCTATTGTTTGGAACTATGAGATCAATATTTGAAGGCTGCAGTCTCCAACCCCGGGCCACGGGCCTGGTGCTGGGCTGCAGCCCACCAGGAACGAGGCTGCAGAGCAGGAGGCAAGCGGCCTGCAAGCGAGCAAAGCCCCACTTGCACCCACAGCAGCTCCCTATCACTAGCATCACTGCCTGAACCCCACCGTCTGTTAGATCAGCAGGGGCATCAGACCCTAACAGGAGCATGAACGCCACTGCAAACCACACACGCAAGGGCTCCCGACTGCATGCTCCCCATGACAATCCAACGCCTGATGATCTGAGGTGGAGCCAAGGCAGCCACCCTGCCACCCCTGGTGGAAAAACTGTCTTCCACAAAACCAGTCCCTGGTGTCAAAAAGGTTGGGGACCACTGTTTTAAGGGATAGAAAGGTCCTAGATAAGGGATTTCTCTTGTAAGATATTGCTGTTTTTGACAAAGAAAGATTATAATCCAGATTGTAAAATTTTAAGATATCTGCTTAACATTCAACTGTTTTCCAAAAGTTACCTTTAGACTTAATTCTTTAATATGATATATAAGTTTAGTGTGGGGTAAAAATGAGCTTCCTAAACTGATGTGGCATTTAAGTAGTAGTGTGATAAATACTATAAACACTACCAGAACATCTTGCTTCACAGAAGATACAGTTTTAGTCCCAGAATTCACTAAACTTCTACAACTGCTGTGTTTGAAGAGGAGATTGTGTAGATATCTGACTAATTTGCTGGCTGATGGAAATAGCCTGTCTTTATGTGTATAGAGAACTCTCTTGAAAAGTTTCTATTTACCAATCTTTACAAAATGTTGTGGGTTTGTTTGTTTTGAGACAGGGTCTCACTCTGTTATCTGGGTTAGAGTGCGGTGGTGTGATCAGAGCCCACTGCAACCTCAGACTCCTGGGCTTGAGTGATCCTCCTGCCTCAGCCTCCAGGGTAGCTGGTACTACAGGCACATGCCACCACACCCAGCTAAATTTTCTGTTTTTTTGTAGAGACAGTGTCTTTTGCTCTAGCTCGGGCTAATCTTGAACTCCTAACCTCAAGCAATTCCTCCTGCCTCAGCCTCCCAAAGTGCTAGGATTACAGGTGTAAGCCACCAAGCCTGGCCCTGAAATGTTGTGATTATTTGAGGTCCTATCTGTCTGTGTTTTTCTTCTAAGTTTTTTCTTTTAATTTACTTCCTTGATAAATATCTTAAGAGGGTCTACTTAATAAATTTAACTGTTTTAGAGAAATTGCAGTGAAAATATTTTGGATTTTTGTTTGTTTGCAAGTGAAGATATAAATGAAATACTAAGTGCTTTGAGCTATGAGCAAAGGCCTAATGAGCTTTTACAAGATCATGTTCAGTGAACATTTTCTGCTAAATGCAAAGCAGTCTGCTGTGAAAAGATGAGCAAGATATATCCCCTACCCTCATTTGAATACTGTAAAGGAGATACAATATAAAGATACTGTATGTCTTCAAAACCATATCATTTATGGTTTAATCAATTAGGATTAGATTTAACTACATATAATAGAAAAATCTAAACTTTCAGTGGCTTAAACAATATGGAAATTTATTTCTTGCTAATATAAAAGAAGTCAGGAATAGGCCACTTAAGGCTGGTATGCTGGTTCACAAAATTGTCAGGGGCCTAGACTCTAGCCATGACCCTCGTGATCCAAGATGACTAGAATTATTACATCATCATTTGAGGTAGTAGGATGAAAGAAAGCACAAAGTAATGATTTTTGTTTACCTCTCAGCTAAAATTTAGTCACATGGCTATGTGTAACTGCATGGGAAACTGAGAAATTTCTTTTAGCTGGGCATATATGACTGTTCCTCACAAAGAATTGGAGTGCAGTTACTGAAAAGTAAGGTTGTTGGGGAGACAACTCATAGTCTGCCACAAAAGGAAAGAGATTCTTTTTTTTGTTTTTTATGTAATATTTTTAAATTTACATGCTGTAATTGTAAATATTTATGGGGTATAATTTGATGTATATCTGTTACATAATGATTCAATCAAGGTAGTTTGTATATTTAGGTGAGATTAATTCTTATTGGGAGATTGGAAAAACATTTGAAGAATGGATATACATTCATAAATAGTAATGAAGAGGGAAAGTACATTCTAGGAGGTGAGAATAATTTGAATGTAAAGATACAGAAACAAAAAAGTGCAGGGAAGCAGCAGGAAGATATGAAAGGTAAGGCTCTCTACAGGTAGGTTGAGACTACCTTGTAGGAGGTTCCAGATTCCACCAAGAATAATGGCAGAAAATGAGCTGGTGTGGAAAACAGTGGGACTGATCCTAAAGTTTTTAAGGAAAAGTAGATTTCCTAGAAGTCAGGAGATTGCTGGAGAGAGATTAGCAAAGTCAGATATGGTGGGGCTTCAAAGAAATAAAGTTGGACGTTCAACACATTTAGAGGTGACTTGAAGAAGAAGGTTGACTCACTTGTCATGGTGATTCCATGAGTCATAGTGATTAAAGAAAGATCTTTCTTTCCCTTTCAGAGGGCTTAAGGTAAGTAATACTGTCATGTATACATTAAGACAAGTACAAATGACCCTTAAACAATGTGGGAGGTAGGGCTACCAACCCCCCTGCACAGTTGGAAAGCCACATAAAACTTTTGACTCCCCCAAAACAGTTGACCAACAAATGTTTTGTATGTTATATGTATTGTATACTATATTCTTACGATAAAGTAAGCTAGAGAAAAGAAAATGTTATTTGGAAAATCACAAGGAAGAGAAAATACATTTATTAAGTGGAAGTGGATCATCGTAAAGGTCTTCATCCTCATAATCTTTACATTGAGTACTGGCTGCGGAGGAAGAGGAGGGGTTGGTTTTGCTGTCTCAGGGATGGCAGGGGTGGAAGGGGAAGCAGGAAAGGCAGGCATACTTGGTGTAACTTTTTTTTCTGAGACAGAGTCTCACTCTGTCACTCCAGATAGAGTGCAGTGGTGTCATCGTAGCTCACTGCAACCTCACACTTCTGAGCTCAAGCAGTCCTCATGCCTCAGCCTCCCAAGTAGCTGGGCCTACAGGCACAGGCCACAGCACATAGCTAATTTTTCTATTTTTTTGTAGAGACAGGGTCTCACTCTTACTCAGGCTGGTCTTGAACTCCTGAGCTCAAGCAATCCTCCCACCTCGTCTTCCCAGAGTGCTAGAATTACAGGCGTGAGCCACTGCACCTGGCCTTGGTGTAACTTTTATTGAAAGAAATGCACATATAGGTGGACCTGTGCCATTCACTGTGTTGTTCAAGGCTCAACTGAAGATGGAAAGCATTCAAGAATGTGAGGGAGGCCAGGCACGGTGGCTCACGCCTGTAATCCTAACACTCTGGGAGGCCGAGGCGGGCGGATTGTTTGAGCTCAGGAGTTCGAGACCAGCCTGGGCAAGAGCGAGACCCCATCTCTACCAAAAATAGAAAGAAATTAATTGGACAGCTAAAAATATATAGAAAAAAATTAGCCAGGCATGGTGGCGCATACCTATAGTCCCAGCTACTCGGGAGGCTGAGGCAGAAGGATCGCTTGAGCCCAGGAGTCTGAGGTTGCTGTGAGCTAGGCTGACGCCACGGCACTCACTCTAGCCCGGGCAACAGAGTGAGACTCTGTCTCAAAAAAAAAGAGAGAGAATGAGAACCAGCCCCCAGTTGCTCTTTTGGTACATTGCAGTATTAGATGGCTTAGATTAAGTTGTGGCAAGAACCTCTCAAATCTCAGTGCATTACAACAACAAAGGTTTATTTCTCACTCATGTTATCCATTGTGGCTTGGCTGGGGCTTTGTTCTACATCTTCTACATTTTGGGACTAAGGCTGACGTCTGGGACATAGCAGAAGGAAGAGAAAATGGTGGAGCCATTCCTAGCTTCTACTAGGAAGTGGTATGTGTCTCTTCTAGTCTTACAAATGTTAAGACTTACATCTGTACACATTCCAATGACCATAGCCAGGCTTGACACTAGTGGGTGGGAGGGTGTACTCCCATAGCAAGAAGCCTTGTTGTGGCAGAGGGGCACTAAATGTTTTTGAACAAATATTATCATCTACTGCAGTGGATGAGAAAGTCACATCAAGTGTACAGTGCTTGTTGACAATTAATACAGCAACCTAGCCTTTGAGTAGCAGAGGTGAGTGGATTAGCCACAGCTAAATTTCAGTCCATGTTCAGGCTGCTGCTTTTGGTGATGGGTTACGTTCAGAGAAATGAATGACTGTATATGAAAGGAAATGCTAGGAAGTTTATTCATAATTTATTACTTAGTCTACAATGTTTATTACTTGCCTACTTTTACACCCAATACACTATCCTAGGCTGAGAAGGATTACTATCATTGTTACAAACAGTAACAACAAAACTTAGTTTAATTGGGAACTCTCAGCACCTGTTAGAGAACTGCTTTTTTTGTTCGTTTTGTTTTTTGTTTTGCCTTTTTTTTGTTTCTTGTTTCTAGGGTATAGAGATGGGGTCTCACTGTGCTCAGGCTGGTATCAAACCCCTGAGCTACAACTATCCTCCCGCTTCAGCTTCCCAGAAAGCTAGGATTACAGGCGTGAGCCGCCGCGGCTGAGAGCTGCTTTTTTTTGTATCCTTCAGCTAATGCAACAAGCCTGTAATTCATTTCTTTGCACATAAGTAAATTCTTTTTTTTCAATGAACGATGTGTCTGTGACGTTTTGTTGTGTATATGTTAAGACTTACATCTGGCACAATGCCATGTCTTTTGGGGAAGTATATCTCTATTTTAAGGAAATGAAAACTACGAGCTAAAGAATTGAAGATACATATCAACTGTGGGAAATTTCTAGGTTAATAGCTAATGGGTTAAGATTTTTAATTTATGTCTGATATATAGGCCAGTTTTGGCTTTGTTGTATTTGTCATAGGTATGAGATTTTTATTTTAGTTTGACTACTTCAGATTCCTTCATCTGTTGCACAGGTAGTGGAAAGCAAATAGTGCAATCTGTGTATGAAACAAGAATTGAAGGAGATAGGTAGACGAAACAGGAAAAGAGTGAGAAAAGAAAGGATGAAATCAAGATGACAGTGAAAATGAGATTTGATTAAGGTAAAGACACAGTTGTTTCAGGAAACAGCATGGTTAGTGCAAATATATTTTTTTAATGTCCCAAATAAGAGCTGTATTTTTCTTGATCTATTTTTTAAGTCTAGTCTCCAGATTGACAGTGTGACTTTTTTTTGGCCTAACTTAGGTGTATACTCTGGATGTACCAGATGCATTCTATTACTGTTACAGTCCAGACCCTAGCAATGCAAATGGAAAAGATGCCATTATGGAAGCAATGGCTGAGCAGATAGTTACAGTCTGTGCTACCTTGGATGAAAATCCTGGAGTGAGATACAAAAGGTAAGACACTCAGCATCTGTACATATTATGCTTCCTTTTTGCTGTCCAGTATAGAGGTAAGTAATGTCTCTGTACTTTTGTGTATTGGTTTGCAAAATTTACTTTCCTTGTGTAATAACCATGCTCTACATATAGGAGATTTAAAGTTTAAGGCTTAAATTTTCACATTAACTAATAGCCTTTGTTACTAAATTTCAGAACTTAAATTTGGTAAAATTTGTAGACTTAATTTTTTTATCAGTTTAAGGAATGCTTAGAAGAAATGTCTTTGTTGTCATGTATGGTGAAATACAGTCTTACAATTAATGTTTTATCGTTAAATTTCCACCAAATTTAAATGGCCAAATTCTCTGGATACCTGTTATAGTGTCTGAGTATGTATAGTATTAATATCTAATTCCAGTGGCCATCCTAAATAAATTTTAGGTTTTTTTTTTTAAAGAGGTGAAGTTTAACTCTAGTAATGCCTACCTTGATTTATATGCTTCTTTTTAAAAATGAAGTTTACTATGAAGTACATAAATTATATGTACAGTAAAAGTCCTCACTTAATGTTGTCAGTAGGTTCTTGGAAACTGAGTTTAAGTGAAATGATATATAATGAAACCAATTTTACCATAGGCTAATTGATATAAACAAGAGTTAATTTCCTTAGTCACAAAATATCACCTAACTTCTATTAAAGATCCAAAATACTTCTGGTATTAAACATGAAATAAATGTGAGCTATACATACATTTATAAAAGATTAATAAAACAAGATCAGTATTTATCCAATTATTGCAGTACAGGGTTGCTGGTGGCCAGAGCCCACGCTGGCAGCTCAGGATGCAAGGTGGGAACCTACCCTGGACAAGATGACATTCCATCACAGGGCACACTCACACACATATCCATGCTTACTCAGACTGGGACAGTTTAGACACGCCAATTAACTGAATGTGCACATCTTTGAAATGCGGGAGGAAACCATAGTACCAGGACAAAACCCCTGCAGACATGGGAGAACATACAAACTCCACATAGACAGTGGCCCTGACCAGGAATCGATTTTTTTTTTCCCCTTAATGTCATAATGAGACAACATTGAACGAAATGACATTATTCAAGGACCTGCTCTATGTGGCTTGATAATTCATTCCCAAATGAACATACCCATCCAACCGCACTAAGTTAAAAAAATTAGAACATTAACAGCATATCAGAGGCAGCCTCCTTTGTTCTTCCTCCCAGTACCCCCCATTCCTCCCCAGAGATGACTACCATTTGACTTCTAACACATGGTTTAGTTTTTCCTGATTTTGAATTGGTATAAATGCAATCGTATGATCTTTTTTGTTGTTTTTTACTTTGTTGCTCAACATTATTTTTTGAGAGTCTTCTGTGTTGTCG